CTCAAACTCAGAGAGCACTCAGGACCCCACAGTCCTCCTCCTCCTCCCCTCCTCCTCCTCCTCCTCCTCCTCCTCCTCCTCCTCTCCACAAACCCTACTCCCTTCTAGCCATGATGACATTACCCAGCTGGGTCATGAAACGTCTGTAAGAAAACCCCCAAACTCAGAGAGTATTCAGGACCCCACAGTCCTCCTCTCCTCCTCCTCCTCCTCCTCCTCCTCTCATACCCATAGCATTGTTTCTCAACCTTGGCCATTTTAAGATGCGTAGACTTCAACCCTGACGCCCTTTTTGACATTCTTTAGCAAAGCCAAACAGTTTTGGGTAAAAACAAAACTAGGCACAAGGGAAGCGGGGTGTGTGTGGAAAAGACACACCTTGTTGCAAGCGTAAACTGGCCAGGCTCTCACCTGTTTGCCTTCTCCTCGTCCCTCCTGTTTAGGGCAGAAACAACCTGTTCCACACCTTGCTGATGTTTCTGTACATCATAAAGACCAAGGAATCGGGGATGCTTGGGTACGTAGGATACTCTTTACCTGTTCCTGTCCGCCATTTCTAAATTCTTGTATCTATTCTAATAATTAATACGGCCAAGAAAGTTGCTACTTCGATCTAATGTTGTCCTATTTATAACTACGTCAACACATAAACCTTCATTTTTCCATTATTCAGCACAGTTCATTTCTAGCTAGAGCAAAAAATATAAATAAATGTGAAATTCCAACGGAATTTTTGCGATCTATTCATGTCCTTTTCTTCGCAGGCGAGTCAACCTTGGATTATCCGGCGTGAACGTTCTCTGGATTTTTGGAGACTAGCTGAATTTCCAGCCACGAACTCTTTTTAACTCCGAGAGGATAAATTCCTTCCCTAGGATGGGAATTTAGCTCTGAGATTGTAACTGCCTTGAATTTCACGGCCACACAAAGAGAAGGGGTGCTTTATTATTATTAGTTTTACAACAACGGAAGAGTCCAGGGATAAAAAAGACATATTTTAAATACTGTTTCTAAGCAGGAGTTTTAAACGGGAGGGATGTTTAATTCTTACTCGATGAACAGAACTGCTTTTTGGGTAAAAATTTGGAGGAAGTCAGCCTGAAAAAAAAAAATCTGGTTTGCTCCTTTTCCATTGATCAATTTGGAGCCCAAACCCCAAATCATACTTTTGAATCGAATCCGGAGTCCCTAAATATATTAAGGATTGTTGCTTCTCTACAACCAATGCATTAAATAACACTAATCGAAAAAGATATATTAAAATCTGGATCCTGTGCCGTTTGCGTTCTCCTTTTCACAAAAGTAGGTGCTTTCGACAACTAGCACAGAAAAGTTGTAATGTGTTTGTCTGACTCCGTGTGCGTGGTTTGAGGTGAAAATATTGGTTATTTCCTGAGCCGGGTTTTGCATCCGGTTTCGCTTTGAGAACACTCCTAAACATTACTTTAAAACTTTTTTTTAAAAGGTCTGTTTTTTTGAACAGGATTGGGGTGGTTTTTTCTTTGCAGGATTCTTAAAAAATCAAACTTTATGCTGTCCTTCTATCAAGAGTTTATTCTGGAAAAAAAAAATAGGAATTTTTCCCCTCTGTGTAACTGGGCAATGGAAGAAGCGACATTGTGAGAATAATGTACCTTTTTTTTCTTCAATAGGTATAAAAGTATTTCTCAAGTTTAAGATAGGTGGACTTCAACTCCTAGAATTCCCCAGCCAGACAGTCATGCTGGCTGGGGAATGCTGGGAGTTGAAGTCCACCGATCTTAACGCTTGCCAAAATTGAGCAATGCATTCAAGAATGCCTGTTTATCCAAGGTTGCAGGGGTGTGGAAAAAAACCCACCTAATTGTGGACATCTTGATAAAAAACCCTGCAATTGATTTTCCTCCAAAATAGTAGACCTCACCCAAGAGCGGAAAAATTACTTGCACCCTCCGTCGCCCCGCAGTAAAAGTTTTAAAAATTACCTCTTTACTGCAGCGGCCCACAAATATGTATTGTGTATATATCTTAACCACTTCTCTTCAGAGCAACTTTTTAAAAAGGTGATTTTAGCTAATATTCCACTAAAAGATTAGCAAATGCAGTGCTTTTTTAAGAAAAAATTTTTTTTGCTACGCATCTTAACACGTCCAGTGCTACAAAACGTTACCCGATCGTGTTTCTCACTAGTTGCGTCCCGACTGTAAAGCAAGTTGCCTTTAAGCACTCTTTGTGCATTGTGTTTACACAAGTGCAAGCGAGCTAGTGTGATATGGCCGGGGTGTGTCTGCAGCTGGGGAACGTACTGTTTTGTAATTGTGGGTCTTCCTTGTCGGTGCCGAAACATTTGGAGATTGTCTTGGTTATCTTGATGTTAAATGTCTTGATATTAAATGGAATTATTTTGGTTAATCTTGTCTCAATGCCTGTTGGACTCGAAGTGAGTGAGGAGGTTGGGGAGGAGCATGGGCCGGTCCTGGAGTCTGAGGGAGGCTCTGACGAGGGCTCTGTGTCGGAAGCAGAGATGGGGCCAGGGCCGTCTGACGGTTATCAGCTGCCTTCGGAATCGGAGATCGGTGGGGAAGAAGAACAGCTGGAGCCTGTTCCCAGTGTGCGCATGCACAGAGCTGCCAGAAGAAGGGAACATTTAAGGAACACAAGGCAGAGATGGGGCCAGGGCCGTCTGACAGTTATCAGCTGCCTTTGGAATCGGAGATCAGTGGGGAAGAAGAACAGCTGGAGCCTGTTCCCAGAGTGTGCATGCGCAGAGCTGCTAGAAGAAGGGAACAGCTAAGGAACACAAGGTAGAGATGGGGCCAGGGCCGTCTGACAATTATCAGCTGCCTTCGGAGTTGGAGATCAGTGGGGAAGAACAGCTGGAGCCTGTTGTCAATGTTTGCATGCACAGAGCTGCCAGAAGAAGGGTACAGCTAAGAAACAAGGGAGTAAGGGTACAGGTGGACAGTGAATGGCCCTTCCCATAGGGATTAAAAGAGGAGCAAAAGGGGAATGGGGTTTGTAGGAGACAATTAGTTCATTTAATTAGTCTGAAGATCTGTTCCTGACTTGCCAAGTCACTGCTGCTACAGCGTGGCGTTTGAAAGCTATCGGCCTGGCAGCTCTCCAAGCCTGATAAAGGCCTGTCATTGTGCAATCTCTTGAAAGACTGTTTGCCGGGACTTTGCTGGAGAGGAATTCCCTTTAACTTAAATAAAAGGAGTTTTATCTGGATGAGGAGTCGGCTTCATGATCTTGGGAAAGGATCCCAGGATCAGAACAGATTCCCTGACTTTCCTGCTATTTCTTTCTGGTTTGGGGGCATTTAATCCCGTCCTCTTTTTCGACGTAACTCAAAAGCAGAAGTGAGGTGTTCTGCCATTAGCCCATACAGGTGGTGCTTGACTTACAACCATTTGCTTAGAGACTGTTTGAAGTTAGAATCGCACGGAAAAAAGTCAGTTGTCAAGACACCGACATGCACGCCCTGCCATGCCCTTGTTAGAGTCTGACTCTGAGGGAAAGGAGGAACAGCTGACAGGGAGTGGAGATGTAGCTCCGGAGGTCGTGGAGGAGGCTGGGGAAGGGCAGAGGCCGGCTGGGCAGTCAGAGGAAGAGCCAGGCCCATCCCCTCTTCATCCTAGGGCACACAGGGAGGAACAGAGAAGGGAGCAACTTGGCTAACGAGAGAGGAAGCGGCCATGATCCCCTCATTGGTTGCAGCTGGGAAGAACAGTATATAAGAGAGACAGTTACAACACAGCATTGCCAGAATCAAAGTGTGTTTTGTTTTGGGCTGAAGTTATCTTGGTTGGCGTCCTTCCAACAGACTCTGCCTTGTTATCTCCTTGAATTTGGTAAATATTTCTGTTCTGTTGTGGAAATTTCATCATTGTAGTTTGTTTGGTTTTTTTATTTCACCTCTATCTGCTCACTAAGTTCGGACTGTATTGCTTTCTTTTGAAGACTATTTTTGAGTACGTTTTATCTTTAACTGAGTATTATTGAACAGTGAGGCTAAGTTGGAGGCATAAAAGGACATTTATATACATTTTGGATTTTGCTACGTTTGTGTTACACTCCGGGTCACCCCATTCCCATTCAAATCATAAGTCTCTAACTGCATCTCTCAGAATAAAAAAGATTGATTTATTAGGAGTTAATATGGCCGTGTTTCCTGGTTGCAACCGACTCTGAGATACATCATACATTTCCCCCTTGACCCTGGTCTTCCTCACCCCGTCCCCTGGATGCATATTTTCCAATGAGACACATCCACAGAATACTTTATTGGCCAAGTGTGATTGGACACACAAGGAATTTGTCGTGGTGTAAATACTCTCAGTATACATAAAAGAAAAGGTACATTCGTTAAGAATCAAGAATCCTAACGTACAACACTTAATGATAGCCATAGGGTACAATCAAGAATAGCCAAGAATCATCAATCATGCTCTCCAGTAATAATCTTGCGCGCCAACAGCTTCGGCTGCCTCACAGTTATCTGAAGCATTTATGGAATGCACTGCTTTTCCCCCCACTCCCTTTCTGATGGCAACTTAAAAGACCAAAGGAGTATTTTTTTTAGTTGACATCAGTTATGATGGTGTGTTGTGGTTAGCCGGCAGCAGGTGCGGATGGCTGAGGAGAGCAAGGACTCAGATGAGGGGCCGGGACCATCAGGGAGTAGACTTCTGCCTTCAGAGATTGTGGGGGCCGGCAGCAGCGATGAGGAGGTTCCTGAGGAGCCTGTGCCAAGGGCGCGTGAGCGCAGGATTGCTCAGAGAAAACAGCAGTTACCACAGCATGGGCAACTCGGGAGTAAGGCTGAAAGGTAATGGCCCCTCCTTCAAGAAGATAAAACCAGCTGTGAATCGGACGTTCTTTGCAGGAAGCAAAAACGTTTTGAAACTCAGCCTCGTGGACATTCCAGTTTGTATTTGAAGATTCATGTCTTGCAAATTATTTCTTGTCTGTTATCTTTTGGGAAGCCTCGCACAGTTTGGGCAGGGCTTGTGCTCATCACAGCTAATTATTTTGCAGAAGCATTAAAAGGTTTCTGTTCCCTTTGGATTGGGTTTGATTTGTTGGAAAAGGGCGGGGGGCCAGAACATGGTGTTTCACACTTACCGACCATCATGACACCACCACGCTCACCTGATCAAAACTCAGGCAACTGGCATGTACTTAACGACAGTTGCACTGTCCTGGTGGGAGGCCACGCGATCCCCTCTTGTGACCTTCCTGTCCGACACGCAGAGTCGATATAGAGAAGCTGGGTTTGCTTAAAATTCTGCACGGTTAACAACTGCAGTGGTTTGCTTAGCGACCGTGGCAAAAAAAACTGAGTTTACTAACCACAGCGTTCACTTAATGACCGGCGTGGAAAAAAAACAACAATCGTAAAAACAGGTTGGTTTTCTGAGTGACCCGCATTAGGATCCTCTCAACTTGCAACCGTCATAAGTCGAGGACTCCCTGCGTGCTGCCCTTTTGAATGGACATCCGGTAGCTCCAGGTGGCCAGGTCGTAAATGTTGAGAGACCCGTTATTGACAGTCCTCGACTTACAACCGTTCATTTAGTGTCTGTTCAAAGTCGCAACGGCACTGAAAAAAAATGTGAATTAGGGCCATTTTTCACACTTACGACCGTTGCAGCATTTTCCCCCCCCCAACGGTCACGGGATCAAAAATTTGGCAACCGATTCTTATTTATGATGGTTGCAGTGTTCCCTTTTTTTGTGACCTGGTAAGCAAAGTCAACGAAGCCAGATTCGTTTAACGACCATGTTGCTAACTTAACCATGGCGGGGATTCACTTAACGTCCGTGACAAGTGGTAAAAATGAGGCAAAAGCCGTCGAAGAGCTGTCTTGCTTCACTAGCAAATGGGAAACTTTGGTTTACTTCACATCCATGTTAACTAACTCAAGGGCAGCAATTCACTTCGCAACTCTGGCAAGGGAAATCGTAAAAACGGGCCAAAAAGTCATTTAACCGCCGTCTCGCTTCGCAATGGAAATTTTGGTTTCCACTGTTGTTAAGTCAGGGAGTATCTGTAACATCCAGCAGTCCCTAGGTTCTTAAACCCTGAGCACATCTCTCTGCCCCACCTCAATTTTTGTTTTTAAAAAAGGCTTAAATTTATAATAATTGATTATAAAGGGGAAGATGGGATGACAGCCCTCTTGTGATTCGCATCAGGAGATACGCCGCAGCCATACAAATTAAAAATATTTTTGTTTTTAAAAAAAGGCTTAAATTTATAATAATTGATTATAAAGGGGAAGATGGGATGACAGCCCTCTTGTGATTCGCATCAGGGGATACGCCGCAGCCGTACAAATTAAAAATATTGGCCGTCCGGCTGGCCTCGACTCCAGTTCTTGTCAAATCCCTTATCTATGCATGAAATTTTATTGAAGCTGCCTCGATTATTTAACAATAAGCTCCATGCAAGGCTTTTTTGAAAAAAAAAAAAGGTTTTTAAAATATAAGTATAAATATAAAAATACTAGCTAGAGACCCCGTGCTTCGCTACGAAACTATGTGGCTGGGCTTAGGTTTTGGGGAGGCAGAAAAAAATTCTGTCTTTGCCTTCCAGCATCCATCAGGATTCATCTGCCTAGCGTCCTGTCAGTGTGTGAGACAGTTGAGGGCTGTTTGGAAACTGAAACAGTGTTTGCTGTATGAGCAAGGAGACAGCAAGGAGCCTGGGTGTGGCTTAGCTCAACTGTTCTGTACTAAAGCTGCTTGGGGCTGTGAAACTTACCAATTTATGTTGTTCAGTGTGAAGTTGATTAAAGTGAGTTTGCTCCGTTTTGCGACTATTCTCGCCACGTTGGTGATTTATTTACTAGCTCGATACCCATATTTATTTACTAGTACTTATTTACTAGCTCGATACCCATATTTATTTACTAGTATTTATTTACTAGCTCGATACCCATATTTATTTACTAACATTTATTTACTAGCTCGATACCCCTGCTATGAAACTATGTGGTCGGGCTTAATTTGGGGGGAGGGAAATAAGGGAGAAAAAAATTCTGCCTCTGCCTGCCAGCATCCATCAGTATTCGTCTGGCTAGCATCCTGTCAATGTGTGAGAGAGTTGAGGGCTGTTTGGAAACTGAAACAGTATTTGCTGTGTGAGCAAGGAGACAGCAAGGAGCCTGGGCGTGGCTTAGCTCAACTGTTCTGTACTAAAAGCTGTTTGGTGCTGTGAAACTGAGACTGAAACTCTTCTCCTCTGCTTGTATTTTGCATTTGGAAGAGATTTCTTTTTTTCAGGTGGGGAGGGGGAGTAGAACTCCTTAGCATCAGAGCGTGTTAATAATAATAATAATAATAATAATAATAATAATAATAATAATATAGGAAATACTCTAAATGCTCTGATGGTCCTTTCGAAAAATCCTTTCTTAGTGAGCCCCTAGAAGCCAAGAGGAACATATGTGCCTAATTTCAAGTTCGTAGCCTTTACGGTTCTGGAGATTTTCTGATGATGCGTGAGTGGTATTTCACTTTTATATATACAGATAGAATGTAGAATACAATAGAAGGTGCCGTCCATCTCATGCAGTTGGTATCTCGCAGTCCTCGACTTTTAACGGCCGAAATGGACGGTTCTTAAGTCGTGACGGTTGCAAAGCAGGTCGCTCGCCTGACCCACCTGACGTTACGATGTTTTGGGTATTTTTTAGCGGCCATCGTAAAAGAGAACGCCGGCCATCGTTTAGCAAATGACTAATAACGTCGGTTGGCAAAAGCTGTTAGCCTTTTTTGTGTATAAATTGGCTGCATTTATTAACAATACATCGAATGAATTAACACATTAAATCGATTGAACCACCGTGGAGCATTTCTGAAGGAAAGTAGAAGTGTCAGTTTTCTGCAAAACAAAAAAAAAGTTATAAAACTTAGTCACGTGGCTGCAAACAGCGGGAAATGCTGGCCAGTTGTTGGCCACATGCCGGTCACATGACTGTCCAAACTTTAGAACCAAGTTATAAGTATCTTTGGAGGATTCGGTCGTAACTTTGAGCTAAGCAACGGGTCATCACCGAGGCCTGCTTGTCCCAGACTTCTGGTTCGCACCTTTCAAAAAAGAGGGAATTTAAACTAGGTTAGATGGGAGGTGGTGGTGGTGGGAATTGTATCAGAGCAGTACTCACTACCTCCAAAGGTTGGCTAGTGCCACCGGCGTCTTATAGCCCCAACATTCATCTTGGCTGTATAGAAATAAAAGGGAGGAAATATGGAACGAGTGAAGCACATCACATTGAGACCTGTGGACTTCAACTCCCAGAATCCCCCAGCCAGTCAGACATCTGCAAGAAAGCAACCAAACTCAGGGACTACCAAGAGCCCCAGTCCTCCTCCTCCTCCTCCTCCTCTCCATAAACTCCACTCCTTTCCAGCACTGATGATGTTACCTAGCTGGGTCATGAAACGTCTGTAAGGAAACCACCAGGCTCAGAGGGCACCAAGGACCCCACAGCCATCCTCCTCCTCCTCCTCCTCCTCCCTTCTTCTCTTCCTTGCTTCTCTTCCTCCAACCCCACTCCTTTCTAGCACTGATAATGTTACCTAGTTGGGTCATGAACCGTCCGCCAGGAAATAACCAGGTTCAGAGAGCACCAAGGACTCTGCAGTCTTCTCCCTCCGCCGCCGCCTCCTCTTCCTCTTCCTCTTCCTCCTCCTCCTCCCACTCTCTGCAAACCTCACTCCCTCCTAACGCTGATGAAGTACCCTAGTTGGGTCATGAAACGTCTGCAAGAGAACCCCCCACCCCACCCCCCGTCCAACCCCTGAGCTACAACGCTTCTCCTCTCTCCCTTTATCACCTTCGCCCGCCCCCCCCACGCCCCTCCCACCTTCTCCACCGAGGAGGGGGGGGCAGCGGAGGAGGGTCTCCCTTCCCCTCCCCCACCCACCCGGGGGCGGCGCCTTCCTCCTCCTCCCCCCCTCCCCTCCCCGCCCCCGGTCCAACCTCCGCCGCGCCTGCCTCGAGCGGGGAGTCCCAGACCCGCCGCGGCTTCTCTGCAGCCGCCGCCGCCGCCGCCGCCCCGCCGGTTCTCTCTCGCTCTCGGTCCCCGGCCGTCATGTCCCGCGAGTGGGAGCTCGGCGGGCACCGCCGCCGCCGCTCCGCGCAGGACGGCTACGGTGAGTGGGGCTGCCCGCGCCCCCGGGGTCCCGTCCTCCTGCGCTGCCCGGCGGCGGAGCCTGGGGGGACGGCGAGCCTCCTCCGCCTGCCTGCCTGCCTTTCTCCCACGCCCTCCGCCTCCTCCTCCTCCTCCGGGACTACAGAACCCATCGGCCGCTGGCGGGGGGAGGAGGGGAGAGGGAGTCCGGAGACCCCAAGGCTGGAGTGGGTGGAGGGGGGGCGAGAAAAGGTCCTGGTTATCAGGCGGGGGGGGGGACGGCTGGGAAGCATGGGGATGGGAGTCCTGCACCCAGCTGGGAAGGATGGGGATGAGAGTCCGCTCCCAGGTGGAGGGAGGGGGCGCTGGGAAGGATGGGCATGGGAGTCCTGCACCCAGCTGGGAAGGATGGGGATGAGAGTCCCGCTCCCAGGTGGAGGGAGGCGCTGGGAAGGATGGGCATGGGAGTCCTTCACCGAGTTGGGAAGGATGGGGATGAGAGTCTTGCTCCCAGGAGGAGGGAGGGCAGCTGGGAAGCATGGGGATGGGAGTCCTTCACCCAGCTGGGAAGGATGGGGATGAGAGTCCTGCACCCAGCTGGGAAGGATGGGGATGAGAGTCCTGCTCCCAGCTGGGAAGGATGGGGATGAGAGTCCCGCTCCCAGGTGGAGGGAGGGGGCACTGGGAAGGATGGGCACGGGAGTCCTGCCCCCAGGTGGGAAGGATGGGGATGGGAGTCCCGCTCCCAGTTGGGGTTGCAAGTCGGCTGGGAGGGATGGGCATGGGAGTTCTGCACCCAGGTGGAGGAGGGGGGGCTGGGGAGGATGGGAGTCCGGCACCAGCTTGTGTGGCAGGAGGGGGGGCAGCCTGGGGTTAGGAAAAGTTTTCCCTCTGTGTTTGGGGGGGGGGGGGGGTCTTGGGGAAGGGTCTTCCTGAGCCCACCCCAGAGGGGCTGAGGGCTGGCCGTAGTGTGATGGGCAGGCGAGCGGCCCCATAATCCACCTCGGGAGGAAACCTCCTCTTGCACACCAATTTGCAAAGCATGAGTGAACCTCAGAAACTTTCCTTGGGCAGCTTTGGGCTTCTGTGGGGATTGATTGATTGTGGATTGATTGATTGATTGGGAGGAGGAGGAAGAGGAGGGGGGGGGACTGTGGGGTCCTTGGTGCTCTTTGAACTTGGCGGTTTCCTTACAGACATTTCATGACCCAACTAGGTAACATCATCAGTGCTAGAAGGGAGGGAGTGGGGTTTGTGGAGAGGAGGAGGAGGAGGGGGGGGGGGGGGGGAGGGAGAGGGGGGGGAGGAGGAGGGGGGGGGGGGGGGGAGGAGGAGGAGAAGGAAGAGGAGGAGGAGAAGGAAGAAGAGGAAGAGGAGGAGGAGGGGAGGGGGAGGAGAAGGAAGAGGAGGAGAAGGAAGAGGAGGAGGAGGAGGGGAGGAAGAGGAGGAGGAGGAGGAGGGGAGGAGGAGGAGAGCTTGGTGGTTTCCTTGCAGACATTTCATGACCCAACTAGGTAACAGCATCAGTGCTGGAAGGGAGTGAGTTTGTGGAAGAGAAGAGAGGAGGAGAAGGAGGACTGTGGAGTCCTTGGTGCTCTTTGAACGTGGTTGTTTTCTTGCAGACATTTCATTGCCAAGCTTCACATCCTTACTGCTCAGTGTGCTGATCATGTTACCTAGTTTGGTAATGAAACGTCTGCAAAAAAAAACCCACCCAGCTCAGGGACGACCAAGGAACTCCATCTATTGATTGTGGAATGCTGTGTTTGGCTTTAATTTAACTTAATTTAATTTAAATTCATTTCTGTTCATAATTTGTCGTGTTTTAATCATGTTTGAACAATCAGCCCTCCAGACTCACGTATATGAGATCTATATAAAGTCGTTAAATATAAAACAAAAGAAATAAAATTGTCGTCCCATTGTCAGAAATGTTGACCCGAAAGTGTTGGACCTAAATAAAAATATATTTTTTTAAAAAAAAATGTTGACCTATAAAGATCATTTATTGATGGAGTCAGATTCCATATCAGTATTTTGAAGGCAAATGGGAAAAACCCAGCCTTGATATTCTGTCTTGTGATATTTGTATATTTTTATATTTCAACCACGTGTTAAAATTAAGCCAGTGAATAAATTAGCATAAAGAAAGTAGCAGAAAACCCAGGGACAGAATTTGGAGGAAGTAGAATTGACGGGGAAATAATCAGTTTTGAAAGAGAGAAAAAAGGGAGGAAGTTAAAATAAGTGATGTTGGTTTCTAAGAATGTTTTTAATATGCTTTTTCTCACATTATAGCCTGCTGGGTTCATTTGGACTACATTGGGCTTCTTCTGTCTTTAGGATATCTTTATTCAATTGTGGTCATTAAGTCAAGAACTTGATCAAATGTTAAATAAATGTCTTTATTAAATATATTGTGTGAAGTAGAGTAATAAAGCTGTATAATGATAATGTTCCATCCCTTCCCTAAGGCAGGAGACCTTATATATACCACCTCAGAATTCTATTCCTCCTCTTCCTCCTCCTATTTATACCTATCCTCTTCCTCCTTCGTCTTCCTCCCCTCTCTCCTTCTCTTCCTCTTCTCTTCCACAAACCCCACTCCCTTCTAGCACTGAGGATGTTACCTTGCTGGGTCATGAAATGTCTCAGAGAAAACCACCGCATAACACTAAGGACCCCATAATCATCATCCTCCTCCTCTTCCTCCTCCTCCTCCTCCTCCTCCTCCTCCTCCTCCTCCTCCTCCTCCCGCCCCACTTCCAAATCCAACTCCCTTCTAGCACTGATGATGTTACCTAGTTGGGTCAAGAAAGGTCTCCAAGAAAACCACCCAGCTCAGAGCGCACCAAGGACCCCACGGTCATCGTCGTCCTTCTCTTTCTCTTTCTTTCTCCTTCTCTTCCCCTTCTCCCTCCTCTTCTTCCTCTCCCTCCTCCTCTCTGCAAACCCCACTTCCTTCCAACATTGATGATGTTACCTAGTGGGGTGATGAGATGTCTGCAAGAAAACAACCGAGCTCACAGATCCCCAAGGAGCCCACAGTTCTCCCCATCTCCTCCTCCTCCTCCTCCTCACCCCTTCCAAATCCAACTCCCTTCTACCACTGATGACGTTACCTAGCTGGGTCATGAAACGTCTCCAAGAAAACCACCCAGCTCAGAGAGCACCCAGGACCTCACATTTCAGCCCTGAGCTACAACTATTCTCCATTATCGGTATTATAGAGGTGTTTTGCCACACTATGGTGGCAGATGATGGGAAAACAGCCTTCCTTCGATATGTGAGTGACCTCAGCCAGGGACGGGCCAGGACAGGTGTGGAGTTTTCCACCCAGACGTGCATTTTGGGACCTTTCTAGATAAAAGGTGATCTTAATCTCAATAACATTCCTTCTTCAACAATCCAGGCTAAGCCCCCCACTCGTCCTTTTCCCCCGCCCATCAAGGTGACCAAACCCCAGAGATACCATCACCTTGAAGGCTTCTACAAATGAGATCACCGTTGTGTGGCTCCTGCTGCGTCAGATTCTGTGTGCATTTTCTTGTTTTCCCACCTTATCTACAAAACCAGCCTCACCTAAAAGTCTGTCCTCCAGGTCAGGATTGTCCTCCAAAAGTCTTCCATCCTCCAGGTCAGGATTGCTCCAAAGGTGCATTTTTTTTCAGGAAGGCAACTGGACTTTTTTTATTTTTTGTTTTTCTTTTGAAGAGATTTCGCTTCTCATCCAAGAAGCTTCTTGGATGGTGGGAAGCGGAAGGATTGATACTCCCTGCAGGTCATTTGCAGCCTTTTTAGTGAGTCATTGAGGCCGCTTGGAGGTTTGTCTGCGTCCTCAGGGTCCACCTGTGTGGTGCAAATGGATGTGGAGCCTTCTGAATGGATGGTGAGGGAGGGAAGGATTGATACTCCCTGCAGGTCATTTGCAGGCTTTTAGTGAGTCATTGAGGCCGCTTGGAGGTTTATCTGTGTCCTCAGGGTCACCTGAGTGGTGCAAATGGGTGTAGAATAAAAGGACTGTGCAATTCCAAAAAGGCTCCACGCTCATTTGCACCGCTGGGGTGGCTCTGAGTACACAGTTAAACTTCCAAATGGCCCGAACGACCCTCTAAAAAGGATGCAAATGACCAGCAGCCTGCAAGGAATATCAATCCTTTCATTCCCCACCATTCGGTCAGAGTTGAAGAAGCTCCTCGGATGAGAAGCGAAACCTCTTCAAAGAAAAAAAACAGAAAGTCCAGTTGCCTCCTGAAAAAGCACCCGTGGGACAGTCTCACCTAGCGTGCTTTCCGAAGAGATGGCTGGCTTGTTTGCTTTCTGCGGCCACATCAGTGGCCACTGGGAGTATGGCCAAAGCTGGACGTTTGCAAACTCCAGTGGGCTTTGGTGGCTCCAGCGTGCAACCTTTGCTGTTGTTTTGGAGTGACCGCCGATGTTCCCTCCTTAACTATCAGAATGATTGCTGCTGTGTTGCAAACAGAAGGGAGGTAGAAATCTGATCCGTAACAAAAGGAGAGAATATTTGTGGTTCAGGGTTGATCTGTGGAGTCCTGGTGATTTTCTTGC